CTATCATATGTGCTAACCTTGAGTGCTTCGTTGTTGACGTAGCTCCTGAGTGTATTATGAAGCTCTCAGCTGTGACGACTATGCTAGGCTTCACTACAGGCCGGTGAGTGCGTATTGCTGTGCGTTACTTTTAGCTATCTCATACTGATACATTCTTTTTCCGTACCATTTGGTCTTCAGGCCGAGCGAGATCACTAGATGTGGTGATAAAGAGTCCTGTCCTGGCAGCAAACTCCGAGAAGAGAAGGCAGAGACGCGTCCTGCTGATCAACACGAGGGCGGTGAGTTGCCGGGGTCCGGAGAGCGAGAAGACCCTGGTTTATCCGTCAATGTTACTATGATTGAGAAGAGAAGCCCTTACTCGCGCAGTGTTTTCGTTGAGGGTGAGCACAAGAACAACGACGCTTGACACGTATCGTTGGTGTCGCCGAGAGAATACGCCGTTGGGACCCGTCGCGCTGCTTATAGTGGCGGCACTGTGGAGGAGCCCGTCGATCCGCTGAACGCAGATAACCAGGAGATGTGGAGGTCGCCCCTTGAAACAAAAGGTGGTGAGGGCTCGTATCTGGCTGACGACGCCACCGATAAGTCTTCAGCCTGTTCGGACGTTGGCATTGCTGCTGCAGAGCATCGTTGTCCGTTGTGCAATGATAAGACGAGGATGTTGGTGTATGCTGACCCCACCAAGGAGCCGTGCGACCTGCTTCAACTCGATCTAGAAGGCCAATCTGAGCAAGAAATTCGCGCTGTTGGTCAGGACACGAACCGGCGTAAACGGCATCGCAGAGACTCAGGCTGGTATCGCCGTCGTTCCAGCTTCCTGGGCAATTGTGTTTCGCCCACACAATTAGCCCGTCAGCACTGAAGCATAACGTTCCCGTAACGAAGACGTGATGCAGCCAACCATTGTAATGCGCATTTTGGAGATCGACGTCAGACGGCTGCTGTACCTTTAACCAAATCCATACACGTACATTTACAATCTAAAGCTAGAAGTGTTGAGCTCTTAAATGACCACGTACAATTACTCTCACTCTAAAGTTTTTCCCATTGAGAAACCCCCATGTATATCTCAGCAACGGCTGCCGGTTCTCAACCAGTTGGGCAAGTGCACGTTGCCGTGCGGGGGAGGGCCACACAATTCGAGCTGGACTAAAGCCCACTAAAGCCGATGCCAGGGCTTCCTCCGCCGCGTTGAGAACTCTACTCAACGTCGACGGAGGCACTCCGAATTCCGAGCACAGGGTATTCCGCTTCATAGATCCAACATAGAAAGCACGAAGCAAACCCAGCACCTGGTGGTGGTGCTGGAGCCGCCGTGGCCGACCGCCTGCTGGATTGTATACTGGAATGATGTAGAATTGGGAGAATCGCTCCAAGAGCTGCTCAAACGCGCCCCTGGCACACATAAATAAATAAATAAAATAACAGGTTAACAAAAATCATTGCTCTGGCACATACAAACATCGTCGTAAGTTACTACCTTGATAGGCTAGTTTTGTTAAGCATATTCTTCTCGGTGCCCCGACGCCAAAGATCCATCCAATTCGACTCTTCGGGGTGTTTTAGACAATCGAGGGTCAAGTAATGCCGCATGCGCAGCAACCGTTCCCACTCTACACGCCTCCTCTCTTCATGCAGCCGTATACGAAGCCGTTTAACACACTTTTCGAGATTGTGTCGCGTTTGCGACGTCGCGCATAGCGCGAGAAGAACGCCGGCGCCGCGCATGGGCCCCTCTCTCGTTTGAATCTGGCGAGAGAAAGCCGTGAGTTGCAGGGAAGGGGTCGCTGGCAGCGCGCCATCGTGGTGGTATCTTAAAAAATAGACAAATTTATCAGTTTTTTGTCCCATTTAAATGAGTAAAGATCGTCCGTTAAAAATGAAATCAATATGTTAGATACTTCAACTCGGAGCGGAATAAATTTTAATGTAGGGTTTTGGCAGTACGGTTTTGATAAACCGGTATAAAAACGCATCACCGTGATAAAAGTGTGATTAAAGGGGTCATCAAAACTTTGTGATAAAACCGTTTTATACAGGTTTTGGAAGGCACCCACTTCAATATTAAACGTGAATGGATTCTTCAAGTTCTTTTTCGCGGAATAGACTACAGAAGTCCCCTGAATACAGGTAAGCGGGTCGTCTGAAAATTTTCATAGGTAACCTCCCCCGCTCTTCTAATTTGCTAAGGGTTCACCAATATATGTTATCTATTATAAAAGGGTATACGAAGTAAGAGCTACGATTATTTAGAGGGACTTCTGTACCCAACACTATCTTTGACCACACCCCTTTTTTTTTTTTGGAAAAAGGTGGTCATCACGCCAAGTGACTCGGGTCATACAAAATGGGCTGGATACAACTCAGAAGCAGAAGTCAGTCACCACACTCGGTCATTGACCTGTCGACGTCTCGTGTTACATCTTGACGTCCAGAAATGCGAACGACGTAAAAAAATGCATGATTCTTTTTCGAATTAAGGTGCTGGTGTCTGACAGCCTGTCAACCTCACACCCTCCATGGCCGTTCGAAGCGAGAAATGCCCCCTTTAGATATACATGTAAATGACTTCTAGTTGTATACTAGGGGTTAATACGGCTGGAAAGTAAGTATGTTTGGTCAGGGTTAAGTCGGTTTGTGCAAAGAACAGAAGGAATCAGCCTCTTAAAAGGCGCATTAAGCGCCCTTTAACGGAGGTTCAACTATTATACATGTTGCGACACAGAATTTAGTACGATTCGAAAGCATATTTACTCACTTATAGTCAGTCAAATTCATGGAGCAGATTGCATCACCATCCTATCTTAAATAATTTGTTACAAGAGATGGCTCAAAAGGAGTACCGTGACTTTGTGAAAGGGCGAAAAATGCGCATTATTCGCCCTTTAACGGAAGCTCAACTTTATGCTGCGACATAGAGCTTACAGTACGATTCGTAATCATGTTAATTTACTTTAATTCAGTCAAATTCATGTAGCAGATTGCATCACCATCCAATCTTAAATGATCTGTTACAAGAGATAGTTCAAAAGGATGACGTTGTACAGTAAAAGGGCAGCTTCCAATATCGGTAAACAAACCAGACACTCAAATAGTAGGCCACATTTCCCTCTCTAGCTCGAAATCCATATATTGGTACAACCCCTCAGAGGAACGTCCGATGCGCACGTCGCTCATGGATCCTGGCAAGATACTAAGATCTTCTGTACTCCGCGCCCAGCGTACATGTACCGTTCATTTTTGCACCCATTCAGCGCCAATTCGGTACAGCCAGAATCTCTTTGTATAGCCAATATGGCAGTCTAGGGATTGGCAGAATCCTGCAGATCCCAGACATCAATTACTGCTCCGCGCTGGTTTTGTGGTACACCGTAAATGCTCTACCACTCGGTCATCAGAACAGGTGCACAAGTTTGGCGCCAGATTCATCTGGCCTAGTTTTGACCAATACACTACAGTACTGCACCCCGTTTTCGCGGGAGCTAACCATATAGGATTTGCAAATAAACTAGATTTTAGTTTACAAATAAGAGCTCAAATGGATATAGGATCATCACATTCGGAGGTTTATCAAAGGTCCAAGGGAGCGAAAACGGGGTGCACTACTGTACCAGAAACGAATGGTTGTGTAATGCGTCATCGAGTGCGGTACGACGTCGACGCCCAGGCATAGACGACGGTTACGTCCCCATCGGAGTGCGAGACTGCAATGCAGTCAGCAGCGCTTCCTTCATAAATTGTATGACCCGAGTGAATTGGCCGACTGGCTTCTGTATATTCGGGGGTCAGTGAGTCACTGAGCCACGAAGATACTGAGTGAGCACCTCAACGGCCTCGTTTACAGACCTCTTTATAGTTATTATGATCTACCATTTTCATTATTTGAGCGTGTATTCCGGTAGTGTAAAGATTGCAGGAGGTGTAAGAAGTATAGTAGTTTATTGCGGACTGGACGCCACCCAAAACTGCCATAAGGGCCGATATGTCAAGGCCTTCGATAGATGATATACTTATCATACCCCGCCGTAAATCTGGTCTCAACAAAGCTGCGGAGCTATCCATATTTATCAGCTGTGCACCGCAGCTACACAAATTTTGTCTTAGATCAGCTGTGCACCCTAACTTCCGGCAGCTACACAAATTTTATCTTAGATTTTGTAAGGGAAGGTACCTCGTGCCCATCACCGCCCCTTCAACATGCTCCCTCGCTTAACCCTTTCTTTCGTGCCTCTTGTAAAGACCAAAGTACATGTACCGGGCGGGCCAATCAAAAAATCTTCGCGTCCCGTTTTTTTCAGCTCAAACCCCAGTGAAGGATATTTATGATTGGTAGAAAACCGTGTCAGAAGGTTTGATTTGGTTGGTTTTGAATGTACGCGCTTCACTTTTCTGCACGATTTTGGCCCTCACAGACTTAACCCTGACCAAACATACTTACTTTCCAACCGTATTAACCCCTAGTATACAACTAGAAGTCATTTACATGTATATCTAAAGGGGGCATTTCTCGCTTCGAACGGCCATGGAGGGTGTGAGGTTGACCGTCGTTCGCATTTCTGGACGTCAAGATGTAACACGAGACGTCGACAGGTCAATGACCGAGTGTGGTGACTGACTTCTGCTTCTGAGTTGTATCCAGCCCATTTTGTATGACCCGAGTCACTTGCTGGCTTCTGCCACCTTTTTCCAAAAAAAAAAAAAGGGGTGTGGTCAAAGATAGTGTTGGGTACAGAAGTCCCTCTAAATAATCGTAGCTCTTACTTCGTATACCCTTTTATAATAGATAACATATCTTGGTGAACCTTTAGCAAATTAGAAGAGCGGGGGAGGTTACCTATGAAAATTATTCAGACGACTCCCTACCTTTATTCAGGGGACTTCTGTAGTCTATTCCGCGAAAAAGAACTTGAAGAATCCATTCATGTTTAATATTGAAGTGATAAATGTCGCTGGACACGGCAGATAGGGCCATCAACACGCCATTAACATAAAGTCTTCTTAAGACGCAAGTGGGGTATCCAGCGATGGAAGAAGTCAATCAGGAAGAAGATGCACCACCGACCCTGAAAATGAAGGCCTCCAATGCCGCCTGGCAAGTCCTTGAGCGACTCGTTCCAACAAATTCGACGCTCAGAGAGACCGAAAGACCTCCGCAGCTGGATATCGATGAGAACGAACTCAGGAACTCCTGGCGACGAGATAAACTGACGACGTATATTACAGCTCGAGTTGCGCGAGTCTATTTCGTGCCGGGTGTGGACGCTCTCTTCGAAATTATCGCTGCAAAGGTGGAGGCAATCCTGAAAGCCGAAGTCCTGATAAACGCTGTGACTGATCCAGCGGCGACTAGTAACCTCGATCAAGCGTTTTTTAGCAGCCCCTTCTCAGGAGACGCCGACGTGAGATTCTTTCGCTATTTGATGCGGTGCTGTAAGCTCTACAGCGAGAATCCTGCAGCCTACACTGCCCCCTACGTGACGATCATGCAGAGCTCTGGCTTCGGAAAGAGTAGAATTCTGTACGAGGTTGCGAAAAAGATCGCTGACCCAAATACGAACCTGCCAGAAAGTGAATTATTCGATTGTCGGTTGCTGTACGTGTGCTCGAATGACGTTGAGCTGTCAACAAGCTTTCCAGTCGCCACCCCTGTACTCTCTCAGTATTTCTTCAAGCAACCAAACATTGCTGACCGACTGCACAGTGCAGTGGCGTACGCGTGCTCTAACTGGGAGAGGGCAGAGACTGAATGGGTCGGGCTTTTCGGTGTGGACCCTATTAACGACTCACCTGTGTCACGTGAAAACATTGATGAGGCGTTGGGCACGGCTCTGGCAATTTTCATGACTTCAGACTCCACCATCGACTCCCCAACTCGTAAGAAGTCGCGCGAGTTGTTGGGACACGAGGACGAGCGTTTGAAAGTATTAGTTTTGGCCATTGACGAGGCTAAAGTTCTACTTATGAAGAAGGACAAAAACGGAACCAATTTCTTTCGTCTCTTACGCAGAGCGCTGAAAAAAGTGAATCAAGATTTGGCTGCTGCTAAACTCAAAATGATGGTGTTTGCGGTTCTGACTGATACCAACTCTCAAGTTCACGATCTCGTGCCACCTCGCTCTAGAGAAACATCCTCGCGAAATTACAAGGGCGAGGAAACGATGCTATTCCCACCGTTCGTACTTACTCACACGATGGATGTCGTGCTTAACCAAGGTCGATTGCAATGGGATCACCCTTTTGACTACAAGGAAAGCGTTCTCCAACGTGATCCCGACACAATTTGGAACACGCTCGTCTCTATGGGTCGGCCAATGTGGCACAGCTACATCTCAAACAACAGGGACAATCCTCGCGGAGTACTTGTCATGGCTGCTTCAAAGTTGCTCTGTGGCCTGAGTCCCTCTAACAAGGCTAGCTACGGAGGGAGTTCTCTGCAGGGAGTTGCGTCGTTGCTGTGTCGGCTAGGAGCTCGCCCTCAATCAAACTCAGCTTTTGCGACACAAGTCGTGTCTGACTTCATGGCAGTGCTCCACTACGTCAACTATACGTACGATGCGCACATCAGTGGCTACGTGACAGAGCCCGTGCTGACATTCGGGGCGACGCACATGTGGTACGAGCTTAACCCATTGCCGCTGGAGGAATACATACTTCCCCAATTCTTGGAGCTGTTGATGCAGGGCCTAATCGACGTCGGAAGCGTTGGCGAAGTGGTGGCGCGAATTATTTTGCTTTTAGCTATGGATGCGACCACCATGGGTGAGGACGGATTTCATCCCTATCAAACCGGATCTAAACGTTTTGAGGGACAATTTTGCTCGGTGAAGCAGTTTCTGGATAAACTCGACGGCTCACACCTCTCTAACCCTTTCAAGCTTTACAGGGAAGATGACGACGACACTAAGAAGAAGCTGAAAAAGGTGCCTGACGCGGAGAGGGCTGACTTTTTTAGTTGGCGGGACGGGTGGGCCAGCTGGAACGTTAGTTTCAGCCACTTCATTGAGCTCACTACTGTCCCAACGAAGGCAACACTGTGGTTCTTGCTAGGCCGTCGTGCAGCCGGGGTATTTCCACGCAATCAGAAGGCTGCCGATTTGATCATCCCGATCTTCAGCTACCCTCCAACCATGGACTCCGATGCTAGGATTTCCTTTATCCTAATTCAAGTCAAGAACAAGAGTGGCGCGGACAGAATGTATCCCCAATCAGCACTCAGCAGCCTGACTCCCGTCAATCTTTTTAAAAAAAACGAGATTAATCGGGACACACACGAGCTATCCAAATTCCCGGCACGCGGTATAATCCGAATTTTCATGAGCCTACGGGAGAGCAATCGTGACAAACCAGCCCAGTCGTATCTTGTTGATACGGAAGGGACCCAACGTTCGTACTCGCTGTGTCTTCGAGGTACCTGCCGGCGTCCCAGCAAGAGATCTCAGCGGTCATTGGTATTTTGGCCATTTCTGCTGTCTAACAAAGTCTCAGATCTGCTGGACAGCATTGCTGACTCGGCGTGGTGGGAACCGTGGGTGAGAATCAACGCCGACTTATCCAGTCGTCTCAAAAGAGGGAGAGACTCTGCTGTATTGACAGAGGCGATGCCTGATGCCGAGCTGATAGAGGGTGTGAAGTTTGCTTTAAACCTAACGCGCTATGACCAAGTGCAGTGAGGGTGCTAACAGGTACGTAGTACTACAGTAGTATTATTAATTACGATGAATTGTATCTCGAAGTACTACACCCAACTTCGTAGTAATCTGCAATCAAACTCGAAAGTCGCAAATTTCATTTCGGGTGGCCATTTCAATTCCGCATTCAAAGTCGAAAATACCGCAATCATTGAATTTGAGCACAAACTCTGAGGCACAGTCTGTGCATATCCAATTCGTCTAGGAATCTTGAGCGGACCCAAAACTGGCATAACAAAGTATCATTTAAATTTAGATGTGAATATAAAGAGTGCACAGGTACAAAATGTCGATGATTTCTGAGGTATGTCAAAGATTAACCCTTTCGTGGCAAAAGGACGCAGAAGTCGATCTTTTAGTGGTTTGTGCAAAGCCCTTTAACGGATATTCAACTTTATGTTGCGACATAAAATTTAAAGTACGATTTGTAATCATATTAATTTACTTAAATTCAGTCAAATTCATGTAGTAGATTGCATCACCAACCTATCTTAAATAATTTGTTACAAGAGATGGCTCAAAAGGGAGAAAATAGGAGAAACACACGTCCATCGCTGGGATAACACACACGGGGCTGGGCGACGTGGGTGCCATAGCCGCGGCGCCAACTAAGGTGAGCGGGTGCGAGGCGGGCCCAGCGCTGAGCTCACCAGCGAGCCGAGCACTACACAGTGTAGTACACTTTCCAGAACATTCTATCTTCATATCGCGAGCGCAGCGAACCGCGGGGGCGCCGAAGGGGCTTTTCTGCTGTGACCTCTAATCGTCGATTATGTCTTATTGCGACACTCAGAAGGTCAAAAGTATACATAAGTCAAGTCAAATGATTTGCTGTGTGCTGAAACAGTAAATACATGTGTTTGGCATGTTCTGTCGATATCCAGTTGATCTAAAGATTCGTAGTCTCAATAAACAGCTTGAGGTCAATACTATTATACTGTAGTAAGGCTATCTCCACTCGAGTTGCTATCGGAGTTGCTATTGCTAAAATAGCAACGGAATCAGAAAGAATATATTCTGCTATCTCCACTCGGAGTTGCTATTGCTATTTGAAAATAGAAATTCTGATTCGAGTTGCTATTCGGATCCCCAATAGCAACTCTGGTGCACGAATAGAAACTCACTCAACCGAAAGATCGCAGGCGCCATGGGGAGAGGTCGGAAGTGGTGTGCTCAGGAGGACGAAGCTCTGGCTCGCGCGTACAAGATTTCTGCGGAGAACCCAATACAAGGAACGGACCAAAAAGCTGCTGCATTCTGGGAGGATGTGTGCCGGCACACGGCAGCAGTATTCGACGGCGACGCCGGCACGTTGTATCAGGAAACCCATGGTAGTAGGTTCGAGTTTTTGTCGTGCTGGATGATACTGCAAAGCTTTCCGGAGTGTGTATCTCGTGTACAAGCTGCGCAACGAGTACGTGGTAAAAGCGAAGACGACTTGACCAATGACGCCGGCACGTTGTATCAGGAAACCCATGGTAGTAGGTTCGAGTTTTTGTCGTGCTGGATGATACTGAAAAGCTGTCCCAAGTTCACGGCATTTGGACTACCTGCTCATCAAAAACGTGGCCAAAAGTCATCGAGTGAAGAGCAGGAAGAGTCCAGCCTCCGCCCAGAAGGAAGAGATAAAGCAAAAAAGGCACGACTACAACACACAGCACCAGTCTCAACTTCAACGCTGCTCCAACAACTACTCGATCACAACAGGGAGAAAAACGAGAAGATACTGGAAGAAATAAAACGCAAAAACGATTTGCGTGATGAAGAACTTGAATCTTCTTTTGTTTGAGCCTTGACGAAGTGAAGGAGCTGTCGCTTGTTCTGTTGGCTCCGCGCAGACCACAGCGAAAACAGCAGCTAAAAGATCATCGTCATCAGCGAGGAGAAACTCTTCGTCACTGCCCTCCATTGCCGATAGAATAGCCTCCAGACGACTGGAGTTGGTGAAAAATCCTTATTTCTATTATCGCAGCGAATAGCAACAGCCAATCAGATTCGACAGATTGCAATACGGATAGCAACTACGAGTGGAGATAGCCTAAGAGCGTTGTCCGAATAGAAAAAGTGATTAATTTTCCCCCGACAACTTTTTTTCTGCGAAGAAAAAAATGAGGCCAAATAAATCGTCGCATGTCCAAGTCTCCGCCAAATTTATTCCACCAAACCTATTTAAATTCATACAATCATTTTGATAGGTTGTTTCCCTTGCACTTCAATTCCGCACGCGCATTGCTGAAAGAAGACGGCCAGCTGGAGCACGCTATGTCTACGCAGGAGTGCAGCAACGCTTTGGCAAGTGAAGAGACCCCTCCAATTGCAGGCTTATCTGAAAGACTCGTGGTGATTTGTGGGAAGGAAATGGATCCAGTGCTGTGATCTGAAGCCTCCAGCATCGAAAGCGATGAAGACTCTCAGCAATCGTCAAGCGAAGCTACTGAAGCCCCACCGACAAAGAAAGCTCGACTGGCCTCCGATCAAGTTAACGTGAGAGCATCACGTACGAGCATCCCGACCAAGAAGAAGGCTGTTTCCAAGAAGAAGACCGCCCACAAGAGGACGAAGAAGGCAGCTCCCAAGAAGAGCGCTTCTGCTAAAAAGACATCCGCTCCGAAGAAATCTAAGACCTCAGCCCCACCGATGCGCTGGACGGTCGCGCTGACAGCGCTAGCAATCGAAACTCGCTACAAAAACCCGCGTGTGCTGAAGAAATTTGCAGTGTCGACAGCAGACACGAAGATGATGCGTGCAAAGTGGGAAGCCACGGTCCACACATTTCAGGTCAACGAAATGGTCTCCTTCCTCGTCGTCCATGCCATCAGCAGCTTCATCAAGATCTCCACGCAGCTGTGTCATTCCAGCGTAGCGAGAGGCACTGTAGTCTGCGAGTTGGCTCCGTGTTGATGAGCTACTCGACAATCTTCTCTCGCCACCACCTTCTATGCTGAACAAAAGTGGTCTGTCTTCCTTGTCGGAATCCGTACACCCCAGGACAGCCCCTAGTCCCCTTGCCAGCGTCGTATTTGCTTCATAGTTGCTGTTTTCTAGCACAATGACGGTATCATCCCAGTTAAAGCAAGCATCAAGTAGGATCATGATGATTAGACGCACCAGAGTCAATGGCCATCGGCATCACACCCTCCGCGACGCTCTCCGTGACGCCCTCCGCGACGCTTGTGTGTAAATGCACGCTTTGCTCCGCGCAAAAAGCTTCCTCCATTCCGCACTCGACTCGTCACTTCAACACTAAAAAATGAAGCGCGACTCGAAAGAAATAGGTGGCGAGCCTCTTTCTTTTTACCGCTTTAAAATGAAGCGTCTGCGGCACCTCGTTTTTCTTAGCGCTACTTCACAAAAAAAAGTAGGTGAGAAAAATAGATCACTTTTCTATTTGGACAGCGCTCTAAGGGCGATCTGTAAAAAAGTTAGGGGGTTCTGTGATTATCAAGTTGGAGCCTTCAACAGTTGAATCAACTTGCAGTGCAAGTGCATTGCAAGTGGCAGGCCAGAAACGATTTCGCGTCACATCGCTTTGACTTCAAGAGCGACGATTCTTAAGCGGTTTATCTCACTTGTATCCTGGCTGAATGACAGTGTATAGCACAAAACGTATTCCTAAGTACACTGTAGCTTCGCACTTGAGTATTGACGCATTAGTTTTTCTCTCCGTGGGCTGCTGTCTGCCGACAAGGATGCATAAGCGCAACCGCTTTGTGTATGTATCGACTCTATTCGTACAGCACGAGTACAGACTCGTACTTCTCTGGCCGACATGTCGGCCGACACACTGTATCATTAATGTTCTGTATCAACGTCATCATTATATTGGTACCTACTGTACAGCTCCTCTATTAACATTCCTACTTCAAAACGAAATGCAAAGACAATTTATATTGATGTAGAACAACGACCAGCACGCTACAATAATGTAATTTTAATACGGCCAGCGCTGAGTAATACGAGGTGGAGGGAACAACTATCATACATTTCCTTTCAGGAGACGTAAATGCAAAGAGTACATGACTGATAATTATTAAAGGACGGTAGCGGTACCTTTGGCGGCAGCCTTTTTATAGTTTCACTTGACAGCACGCTACAGTACTGTCAATATCAAATCGAGTTCCGGCTATATACATGCATTGATTAGACCTACTAAGGATGTCGGTAAAGTGGCAAATGCGGGAGTAATGGCGCGTTATCGTAAACAAAGGACGTCTACCGCATCGCCCCTGTCCTATTAACCCCCCAACGCCCAAGCCGTTTTTTGACGTTATTTCAAATCATCCAACATAGTACTCATCCAACATGTAAAACCGTGCAACACTTGACTTTACTATAGTCTCGTATAATTCCGAGCACCTTTCTTGTACATGCACAACAAGACAATTTCTGCAAATCCCGTCACCATGTTGTATGTACACCAGATCAAAGTTGTATATACACCGGCAGACTGCTTGAATATGGCGTACATCCAGCATGATGGAGGTTTCAAAAAAAGGTGTCGATGTATCTTTTATCCAGAGACTGTACGAAGCCTATCAATCCGGTGCAAACCCGGGAGGTTTGAAGACAACGAAAAGCGAAACCAAACACACATCAATTGAATACAGTAAGAAAAAGCACATATTGCAGCACTACGTTCATCCACCACCAGTTATCGGCTCACTCAGTCTCGCTACCTTCCCTGTCATCGTCGTGCGCTACGCTGTCGCTGTCGCTCCCCTCGCTAATACCTTCCTCCTCCTCTCCATCACTACTTCGGCGGCGGCGCTTACCCTTTCCTCCAGCCTCGCGATTCTGGAATCCTCGTCCACATCGCGCCCTGGGGCATTTGGCTCCATTTGCCCACTTGTGATGCCAGATCTGGTGGCAGCTCAGAGCGTTGCCAGGATAGTGGTGCGGCCAAATACGAGTACACAGATACATGCTGTACATAACGAGCAACAGTTAGTAGTCGTTTCAGCCATATCGAATTCGTATGTACCGAGCTTTATCAGAAGTGCTGCAGGCATCGCAATAGTATTTGGTGGCTCGACGCTCTCACACCCGGCGCTTCAGAATTGCGCACACTTTGCATTGGCGCTGCCGGCGCTTGCGCACGCCTTTCACGATCTGGTACTCAGGACATTCCCGAGGTTCGTGGCCAGGTGGCAAGGGTGGAAGCTCGTCGCCAGCTGTGGTCTCTTGTGGACTTGGCTGTCAACATACAGCATGTGGGTCATACAATATGTCAGCATTATCCAACATGATACAGATACAACATCAGGACTTACACTTTCATCGAAGTCGTACTTGGTCAGAGCAAGCAGCTGGGCATGAAGCTCCACTAGGAATTCTGCGTGCGACATTGGAGACCCACCATTTCGCTTATGTGCCTCACGAAAGATGATATACGCATTCACAATCGCCACATCCACAAGCCCCAAGAATATGGACTTGTAGTATTTCTTGCACCAAGTCTGCAGCTGCAACGAGTAACGCTGGAGGCGCAGCTGGTCATGGACATCCACGCCCCCCATCCATTTGTGATAGTCTCGAATCATAGCAGGACAAGGGACATCAGTCCGTCTGCCGTGTGTTCCACGTGTACGCCTCTCTGATAACAAGCGCAACATTGATTAGATGAATAGGAAACAGCACTCCTCTTGCTTATACGTACGACACTACTCCATCGCACGGCTCGATCCAGTCCCCAAGAATTGCACGGGTTTTCTATCCCACCACACTAAAGCCGTCATTAGGGGCCAGCTTTTGCCACTGCCATTCTTGTTGTACCGTGCGGTATGCTTTTGGGTCGGTATCGATTTTTTTCAACAATTTGCTGAGGATAGCCCACTTTGTCACCCATTATCGTGCCGATACTGTAGACATTCCTATGTAGTAGTTGAAACGCCAGTTGAACTGACGTATAAAATCGATCCGTCACTACAATGTGATAGACGTCATCTTCGGGTGGTGGCAGGACAGCTTCCAAGTTTCGGATAACTGCTGACGGCCCGGTGTTTGGATCTGCAGATCGCTGACTGTCTGGAACGTTGCCTACTTCATGGACCTGCTGCGCTTTGCCACAATACACCTCAAGTCTTCTTGTTGTAGGATACAGCATACAAGCATACAACATTAGATACAACATGATAGACTTGGTCAAAAAAAAAAACTCGCGAGTCCGCAAGGACTCGCAGTCATCTCACCTCATACAGTAGGAAGTATCTGCACAACACGTCAGAAAAAGCTTTGTGCCCCACTTGTGAGGCTTCGCCTTGAGATATTGACGCGTAGGATTGTTCCGGTTCTTCAGAGGTAGAACGCCCTCATCAAATGATATGATCGGCGGCGTTTTGTAGCCCAACGGAAACGTTTCTTGCAGCGTTTCAACGATAGACCTGAATTTCCAGGCGCGGTCAGTTGCTGCTCTCGTGTCTGCGTTGTTGGTGAAGTGGAAGATTTCCCATGATGTGTTCAAAGCGGTTTCGCGGCAAAAAATCGTTGAACGTCCCCCGTGGGATAGCTCCCACTGCATTAGTGCCCCAATGATCACGTAACCTGCGGCGGTGAGGGTTCAGCATTCTTGCCATCAGTAATCCAAGCGCTTGCAGTATCTCGTGCGGCTTGACGTCCCGCTTCTTGGCCTCGCGATGCAAAAACCACTCTTTGGACTTCTTGGCAGGTGTCTTCTGCGAGCTGAACATACGCTCCACTCGTGAAGTGAGGTTCTGCACAAAGTAGCGATTGGTTTCCTTTGCAACTTGTCTCCACAAACTCTTCGGCATGAAAAAGAAGAATAGTTTGAGCGGTGAGTGTGTCAGGGCCAGTACCTCGTCGGTTGGTCCATACTCCCCAGAATATAATCCTGGGTAATGTTGGTCAGGCGGGAAATTGTCTGGGTCTACATGTTGTATATACATCATATATCATGTTAGAATATGTTGGAGGCTACACCCCTCATTGTCACGAACCTAAGTTCCACCCGTTAGCTCGCATGGCAGCCATGTTGGCATCGTCCATCACAAAATCAACCATTTCCGGCTTCTCTAAGACGCTCCACTGCTGTGTCGAACCAGCTGCTTCTCCATCAGCACTCATAGTATCTGATCCAGCCTCACTATCGTCCTCATCACTGTAGTCTTCACCCGACGCAAAGCCCTCACCTTCACTTCTCGCTCGACTCCACTCGTCATCATCATCGTAAAACGTAATCTCGGTCTCTGTTTCCTCGCAATCAGAGTTCAACGCATCAAACTCGTCAGCGAAAGCGGGGGCAGCGATAGGAGAGGCTGAGACCGACGTTCTTTCAGGTGAAATTGGAGCGGAACGCAGCGAGGCTGGAGCAGAAGTCGGCGAAACAGGGGTAGAGGTTGCCGCGTCGGGGACAGGAGTCTGGGAAATGGGATGCTGAGCTTTCACTATGATACGCACAACGTTAGTATACATAATCAGCATCAAAGACTTTGCCACGTACCAATTGTCTTCTGGTGCTGCAACTGGACATTCAGGAGCTGGACATTCAGGAGCTGGACATTCAGGAGGCGGGGGTGGCGCAGGCGCTGCAGACAACGTTCGAGGCGACGGTGCTTCTGACGTATCTTGAGGATCGGTGGAACCCCTGTCGATAGACAATATATGTTAGCTGCTGTTCATGTTGTTTACATGTTGTCGATAACGACGTTGTAGGGAAAGCATAGCGACGCTGTATCCATGTTGTATGTCCCAAATGTTGTATGTACCTGCGCAAAGTAAAAACACAACATTTGGTGAGAAAATGGTAGTAATCTGACACCATAAAACACTGTGTTACCTCTCTGGTGGTCCCACCTTGGTGGGCGCTCCTCTTTCTGTTTCCCTTCACAAATCTCTCTCATCTCTTCTGGGCCTCGGCCAAAGCGAATGCTTCCCTTGTTTCCTCG